GACTCAGGAAGGGTTGAAAGTGTTTGTAGAATATATACAGTTGTGTTCAAAATAATAGCAGTATGTTGAAAAAAGTGAATAAAGCTCAAAATCCTTCTAATAGCTTTTATTTCCATCCACACAAATGCATTGGGAACACGACACATTCTATTCCAAATCACAACATGAAGAAAAATACATCAAATTTGTGTTGTTCCTCTAAAAAAAATGGAAGAAAAGTGAATATTAGACGGTTCAAAAAAATCTCAGTGTTCTTCTTTACAAACTCAAACATTCACTATATAAACTGAAAAATGTTTGAAGATTTTGCTTTCCTTTGAATGACTTCATGAATATTTGGTTGTAGTCGCACTGTTTCTGAGAACTGCTGTACATCTGTGTTGCATGGAGTCACCCAACTTCTGGCCCCTGTGATCAGGTATTCCAGCCCAGGATGATTGGACCACATTCCACAGTTCTTCTCTATTTCTTGGTTTTGCCTCAGAAACTGCATTTTTGATGTCACCCCACAAGTTTTCTATTGGATTAAGATCCGGGGATTGGGCTGGCCACTCCAAAACGTCAATCTTGTTTGTCTGGAACCAAGATGTTGCACGTTTACTGGTGTGTTTGGGGTCGTTGTCTTGTTGGAACACCCATTTCAAGGGCATTTCCTCTTCAGCATAAGGCAGCATGACCTCTTCAAGTATTCTGATGGATTCAAACTGATCCATGATCCCTGGTATGCAATAAATAGGCCCAACACCATAGTATGAGAAACATCCCCATATCATGATGCTTGCACCACCATGCTTCACTGTCTTCACAGTGTACTGTGGCTGGAATTCAGTGTTTGGGGGTCGTCTGACAAACTGTCTCCGCCCACTAGACCCAAAAAGAACAATCTTACTTTCATCAGCCCACAAAATGTTGCGCCATTTCTCTTTAGGCCAGTTAATGTGCTCTTTGGCAAATTGTAACCTCTTCAGCACATGTCTTTTTTCCAACAGTGGGACTTTGCGGGGACTTCTTGCAGATAGCTTGGCTTCACATAGACGTCTTCTAATTGTAACAGTCCTCACAGGGAACGTCACACCTTCTTTCATCTTCCTGGAGCCGATTGTTGGCTGAGTCCGCGCCATTTTGGCTATTCTTCTATCCATTCTAATGGTAGTTTTTCGCTTTCTTCCACGTCTTTCAGGTTTTGGTTGCCATTTTAAAGCATTTGCCATCATTTTAGCTGAGCAGCCGATCATTTTCTGCACTTCTTTATATGTTTTCCCCTCTCCAATCAACTTTTTAATCAAGGTACGCTGTTCTTCTGAACAATGTCTGGAACGACCCATTTTCCTCAGAATTTCAGAGAGAAATGCACTGTAACCAGCATGTCCAACATTTGCTGCCTTCCTTCCTTAAATAAGGGCAATAATTGCCACCTGTTTTTCAAAGAATGAATGACCTCACTAATAGAACTCCACACTGCTATTATTTTGAACACGCCCCTTTCAATGAGTGATTCAATGACACCGAAATCAGCAGCATGCATGTCATGACTGTTGGGTCTGTTGGATTTCTATTACTCTACTACACCTGCTAGGAAATTATTTTCCATGTAGAAATATCATTTCTACCAAAAACAGTGATTGATCCGGTTAGTGATGTCTGACTGCTATTATTTTGAACACAACTGTATATATATATATGCACTGCTCAAAAAAAATTAAAGTAACACTTTTTAATCAGAGTATAGCATCAAGTCAATGAATCTCCTGGGATATTGAACTGGTCATACCTGGACCCTACAGAGGTTGCGCAGGCAGTCCAACTCCTCCAGGATGCCACATCAATATGTGCCATTGCCAGAAGGTTTGCTGTGTCTTCCAGCACAGTCTCAAGAGCATGGAGGAGATTCCAGGAGACAGGCAGTTACTCTAGGAGAGCTGGACAGGGACACAGAAGATCCTTAACCCATCAGCAGGACTGGTATATGCTCCTATGTGCAAGGAGCAACAGGATGAGCCCTGCCAGAGCTCTGCATAATGACCTCCAGCAGGCCACTGGTGTGAATGTCTCTGACCAAACAATCAGAAACAGACTTCATGAGGGTGCCCTGAGGGCCCAACGTTCTCTAGTGGGCCCTGTGCTCACTGCCGGTACCATAGAGCTGGATTGGCATTTACCATTGAACACCAGAATTGGCAGGTCCACCACTGGCACCCTGTGCTTTTCACAGATGAGAGCAAATTCACCCTGAGCACATGTGACAGACATGAAAGGGTCTGGAGAAGCTGTGAAGAACATTATGCTGCCTGTAACATCGTTCAGCACGATTGTTTTGGTGGTGGGTCAGTGATGGTCTGGGGAGGCATATCCATGGAGGGACGCACAGACCTCTACAGGCTAGACAATGGCACCCTGACCGCCATTAGGTATGGGGATGAAATCCTTGGACCCATTGTCAGACCCTACGTTGGTGCAGTGGGTCCTGGGTTCCTCTTGGTGCACAACAATGCCGGCCTCATGTGGCGAGAGTATGCAGGCAGTTCCTGGAGGATGAAGGAATTGATACCATTGAATGGCCCCCACGTTTGCCTGACGTCAATCCAACAGGACACCTCTGGGATATCATGATTCGGTCCATCTGACGCCGCCAGGTTGCATCTCGGACTGTCCAGGAGCTCAGTGATGCCCTGGTCCAGATCTGAGAGGAAATACTCCAGGACACCATCTGTCGTCTGATTAGGAGCCTCCCCCGACATTGTCAGGCATGCATACAAGCACGGGGGGGCCATACAAATTACTGAGGACCATTTTGAGTTGCTGCAATGAAAATTCAGCAAAATGGACTCGCCTGCTGCATCATTTTTTCACTTTGATTTTAGTCTTTGAGTTCAGTCCTCAATACGTCGATCATTTTCATTTCCATCAAACAATGGGGCATCCTTACGTTGCTAACACCTTTACCCCGTCCATGTCAGTATAGAGATCCAGCAGGAGATTTTTCTGCATTGAGACCTGATCTGTTTTTAAAGTCTTCCTTTCATTTTTTTGAGCCGTGTGTATATATTTATATACACACTATATTGCCAAAAGTATTGGGCTGGCCCTCCAAATCATTGGATTCAGGTTCCAATCACCTTCATGGCCACAGGTAAATCAAGCCCCTAGGCATGCAGACTGCTTCTGCAAACATTTGTGAAAGAATGGGTCGCTCTCAGGAGTTCAGTGAATTCAAGCGTGGTCCCGTGATAGGTGGCCACCTGTGCAATAAGTCCATCCTTGACATTTCCTGGCTACTAAATATTCCACGCTCAACTTTTGGAAGCAACTGGGAACAACAGCAACTCAGCCACCAAGTGGTAGGCCACGTAAAATGACAGAGCAGGGTCAGCGCATACCAAGTACAGTGCCTAGCGTCGGATGCCGTGGTGTAAAGCACACTGTACTCTAGAGCAGTGGAGACGTGTTCTCTGGAGTGACCAATCACGCTTCTCTGTCTGGCAATCTGATGGACGTGTCTGGGTTTGGCGGTTGCCAGGAGAACAGTACTTGCCTGATTGCATTGTGCCAAGTGTAAAGTTTGGTGGAGGGGGGATTATGGTGTGGGGTTGTATTTCAGGGGTTGAGCTTGGCCCCCTAGTTCCAGTGAAGGAAACTCTTAAGGCTTCAGCATCGAAAGACATTTTGGACAATTTCATGCTCCCAACTTTGTGGGAAGAGTTTGGGGATGGCCCCTTCCTGTTCCAACATGACTGAGCACCAGTGCACAAAGCAAGGTCCATAAAGACATGGAAGAGCCAGTTTTGGGTGGAGGAACTTGACTGTCCTGCACAGAGTCCTGACCTCAACCCCATAGAACACCTTTGGGATGAATTAAAGCGGAGACTGCGAGCCAGACCTCCTCCCCCGACATCAGTGCCTGACCTGACAAATGTGATTCTGGAAGAATGGTCCAACCTTCCCATAGACACCCTCCTAAACCTTGTGGACGGCCTTCCCAGAAGAGTTGAAGCTGTTATAGCTGCAAAGGGTGGGGCCAACTCAATATTGAACCCTACGGACTAAGACTGGGGGGCCATTAAAGGTCATGTGCGTGTAAAGGCAGGCGGACCAATACTTTTGGCAATATAGTATATATATATATATTCCAAATTACGTAACGTGAACAGGGCCTATAGGAGAATTCTAACTATACTACATCTGTATGATATCGTAAAATAGTGTCAGCATTTTTTGTGTATGGTCTTTGTTTTCCAGAGCTGCACTTAAATTTCTGTTTTGGGATTTTAAACGAGAAGGCGATATACAGCTGTGGTGTATGTGGTTAGCCGGGATCTACAAAGCGTTGTCAGGCCATGTATTCAATTATCTCACACTTGTGTACAGCGCTTGTTTGTGGGTGATGTCATCGCCTCGGAGGGTAAAGGTCATCAGACATCTTCTTTTTTTTTTTTTTTCGAAGCACTGATGAAACTATTGAGCTGGGTTCGGAGCGGCAGCTTTGATAAATTAGGATCTGCTACTGTGAAAATAATTTCCTCCTTGTAACAAGTTGATTGAGTCAAGTGGTCCTGCGTGACTCACTTTTCCAGAGACGAATAATGTTTGCTGGCGGTGTAGCGTGAAACTGTACTTAATGATCTTCAGACGTTACGTGCTGCTTGATTTTCATCACCTAAACAGAAGGTGTTCACATGTCATCGCTTCCATCACACATCGGAAAAACAAGGAGTTTAGTCTTCGGTTTAGAGTGGGTGGAGCCATGCAAATTATTATTTTACCCCATTGGCCAACCGAGCCCCCTGAATCGCACCCTTCGTATAGAGCGACCTTTCTTTACATTTTATATCTTAAAGGAATCATTTTCAGGTCTCAGAGGACTCCTGATAAAAAAAAAATATTCATATATAGAGAATGCATGGTACACTGGGGTAAGCAGTAAGCTGTGGAAGTGATGTTGCTATAGAGCAGTGGTGTCCAAACTGTGGCCCTTTGCTTGCCTTTATCTGGACCTTGAAACACTATTCCATCCACTGACAACAATGATGGGGTATCATGCCTACTACAGGCACCAATAATAGTGCCCTATTCCTCCCACTAACACAAGTGATGGGGCACCATTCCTCGAACTGATATCAATGATGGGACACTATTCCCCCCACTGATACCAATGATGGAGCACTATTCCCCCCACTGATACCAATGATGGGGCACTATTCCTACCACTGATACCAATGATGGGGCACTATTCCTCCCACTGATACCAATGATGGGACACTATTCCTCCCACTGACACCAATGATGGGGCACTATTCTAATCACTGATACCAATGATGGGGCACCATTCCTTGAACTGATATCAATGATGGGGCACCATTCCTCCCACTGATACGAATGATGGGGCACCATTCCTCCCACTGATACGAATGATGGGGCACCATTCCTCCCACTGATACCAATGATGAGGCACTATTCCTACCACTGATACCAATGATGGGGCACCAGTCCTCCCACTGATACCAATGATTGGGCACCATTCCTCCCACTGATACCAATGACTTGGTACTATTCCTAGCACTGAAACCAATGATGGGGCATCATTCCTCCCACTGATACTAATGATGGGGCACCATTCTTCCCACAGATACCAATGATAAACCACCTTTCCTCCACTGATACCAATGATGGGGCATCATTCCTCCCACTGATACCAATGATGGACCTCCATTCCTCCCACTGATGCCAATGATGGGGCACCATTCCTCCCACTGATGCCAATGATGGGGCACCATTCCTCCCACTGATACCAATGATGGGGCACCATTCTTCCCACTGATACCAATGATGGGGCACCATTCCTTCCCACTGATGGGGCCAACTGATGCCAATGATGGACCACCATTCCTCCCACTGATGCCAATGATGGGGCACCATTCCTTCCACTGATGCCAATGATGGGGCACCATTCCTCCCACTGATATCAATGATGTGGCACCATTATTCCAACTGATACCAATAATGGGGCACTATTCCTCCCACTGATACCAATGATGGGGCACCATTCCTCCCACTGATATCAATGATGGGGCACCATTATTCCAACTGATACCAATGATGGGGCACTATTCCTCCTACTGATGCCAGCGATGGGGCACTATTTCTACCACTGATACCAAAGAAGGACCAACATTCCTCCTCCACTGATACCAATGATGGGGCACCATTCTTCCCACTGATACCAATGATGGGGCACTATTCCTACCACTAATATCAATGATGGAGCACTGTTCCCCCCCCCCCTAAATACCAACAATAGAGCACCATTTCTCCCTCTGATACATTAATGGGCACTATTCCTCCCACTTATACCAATGAGGAGGCACTGTTTACTTCCACTGATGCCAAGACGTTTTCAGTTCCCAGTGACCACAGTCTGGCCCCTCTAAAGCCTGAAGGACAGTTAACTGGCCCTTTGTTTAGAAAGTTTGGAGACCCCTGTTATAGAGTATTGAACACCCAGATAATTTTATAACACCCCCATGCTCTATAGAACCAAAACTGTTTTCCATACCAATCTTAACATGAAAGGAATGCAGAAAGTAAAAATGGTGGTGGCAAATTACAAAGTCGATTCAGAAGGGCTTACTTCACACTAATCTTCATTGTTGACCCGTTGAATTGTTGGTCAGTGGGAGAAGGGCCCCCTTACATGGGTGGTCAGTTGAGAAGAGTGGCCAGTGGAAAAAGATTCCCCTTACATTGGTGGTCATGGGGAGAAGGGCCTCCTTTCATTAGTGGGACAGGGGTCCCCTTTCATGGGTTGTCGGATGCAAAGGACCCCCTTACACTTGTGGGTGAGGTGCCGCTTACATGGGTGGTCAGTAGGAGAAGTGCCCCCTTAGATTGGCAGCCAGCAGGAAAAATGTCCCCTTATATTGGTGATCAGTGGAAAAGTGCCCCTTTAGAGCAGTGGTAGAGAACAAAATCAGTTTAGTAGTCACAATGCCCTTTCATTGGGGGATATTTAGAAGAAGGCTCTTACATTGGTGGTCAGTAGTAAAGTGCCCCCAAACATTGGTGGTCATTGGGGAAAGGTCCCTTTGCATGGGTGTTCAATGGCAAAAGGACCCATTACAAGAGTCAGTGGGACAAGGTCCCGCTTGCATTGGTAGTTCCCTTTATATTAGTTGGCAATTACATTGGTGGTAGTAAAAAGAATAGCCAGTTAGATTAGTGGTCAGAACGCCCCTTACCTTGGGGGTTAGTGGGGAAAAAGGGCGTTACATTGGTGGTCAGTGATAAAGTGCCCCAGCACATTGATGGTCAATGAGAAGAATGCCACCCTTACAGACAACTGTCAGTGGTCACTTAAAAAAAAAAAAAAAGGAAAAATAAATAAATAATAATATATATAAAATCAGTATTTCTTAAATAATTTTTCTTTTTTTTCCTTTTTTTTTTTTTTTTTTGTACAGGTCTACCTGTCATCCTATCCAAAGAAGTAGAGTCGGTCCTGGTGGGTGCTGCCATTCTTGGTGCATGTGCTTCCGGTGATTTTTCTTCTATCCAGGTATGTTTGTCTTCAGTGGAATGAGCTGCCCAATGCATTACTTTTGTGTGCCAAAGAATTGTATACGCTTTTTTTTTTTTAATCCAACTGTACCAGAATACATATTTTTTGTTACCATGTGTTCTGGTGCACTCAAACACATGTAAGGTGCAGGGGTGAACTGACCATTTTTAAACTCGGGCACTGCCCGAGGGCCAGGGGTCAGTAGGGGGCCCCATGTGATGCCCCTGGTACCTTTTCCATAGGCTTTTTTGAGTTTGGGCAAGGACACAGGGCCCCATGATCCCCCATTGCCCAGGGGCCCCATGAGTTGTCAGTCCGCCTCTGGCAAGGTGTGTTATGGTGCCATTAAGAATGAATGAATGGCACCGCAGTGCAACTACAGTACAGTTGTGCTGTGGGAATATGCATACTTTTGCTCCTCTGGATGTGAGCTATGCACAGATATGATGGGAGCCTTAGGGCTAGCTCACACTGGCCTTTGAGGGTGGAGGGGTGCTAAAATCCCACGGTTGAGCCACGCATTTACTGCCTCACAACCATTACCCCCTTTAGCTGCAGGGGCAGCGGCCGGGGGTGGATACATGCCACGGCTGCCAATCAAGAGAATTATACCCCCCTCTTGCTTTCACCCACTGAGCACAACCCAGTGAATGGGACCTTCTGCAATACATGCGATTACAGCACATTCAACATCTCCTCACCGCCTGAAGGACAATCCAAGAGCAGATCACTCTTCAGAGACCAAAAAAGAGTGAAGGAGCCCCTAGTTCTTTACTTGTAAGGCTCCATTCACACTTTTGTGACTCCATAGTCGCATGATTTCCAGGGCGACTTTGAGATGACTTTGATATGACTTTACACTCTCTGGACCTAAGTTGCATCAAAAGCTGCATCAAAGTAGTTCAAACACCTTTAAGTTTCACAGATCTGAATGGGTGCCATCAGGGGCGGACTGACCATTTGGAAACTCGGGCACTGCCTGAGGGCCCGGGGTCAGTAGGGGGCCCCATGAGATGCCCCTGGTACCTTTTTCATAGGCTTTTTTGAGTTTGGGCAAGGACACAGAGGCCCCATGATCCCCTATTGCCGGAGACCCCATGAGTTGTCAGTCCGCCCCTGGGTGCCATTGAAAAGAATGGCTGCGACTTGTCATGTCCAAAGTCATGTGACAAGTCACACATGTGTTAATGGAGCCTATAAGATACATTGTATCTTTTTCTCCTTCCTAGAGAAGAAAAAAAACAAAAAAGTGTGTAAAATTAAAAGAAACAAAGAAAAAATGGCTAGGTCAAGGCTTTTTTCTCGGATAGTATTGTCATGGTTAAGGTCAGGGTCAGTGCGCTTTAGGCTCCATTCACCCTTCGTGTAGCAGGAATTCGTGTTCCCACCTGTGATTTTGAGTGGGCGATTGTTCACGTGATTCCACGTGTCTCACATAGAACGGCCTATTCACTTGAGTGTGTTTGTCGGCAAAAGGAAGCTCCTGCTCCTTTTTTGGGCGGCAAGCTTCAAAGGTGCGTTTCGCTGTATGACTGTATTGCGGCAAAATTGCACCTCAATTGGGGTGCCATTTAGAAAGAATGCGTGTTTTTCAGCGATTGCCATGTGGTTTGGATCGCCAAGTGTGAATGGGGCCTTAGATAGGATTACTATTTCTGGGCCGTACTACGGGTACAAATGTCAAATATTATACACATACTGTATGTGGTTTTGCCAGGAACATCAGGGGTAGGAGAATTTATTTTTGGTGTGGGGGGCAGTGTGGGGTGTGCTTGTGTCTCATCTGCTCCCCATCCTCAGTCACCGGCTGCCATGTGTGTCATTTCTGCCGGGGAGGGGGGGGGGCGTGGCCCCTCTGAAAAATGCCGCCCTAGGCAAACGCCTTGCTTGCCATGTGGTAAATATGCCCTTGGTGTCACTTAAATATGCCCCTGAAGGAAAATAAATTTAATCTCCAAACACGGAAAGGTTTCTTCACACTAAGAGCTGTGAAAATGTGGAATAGACTCCCTCTAGAGTTGGTTCTGGACAGCTCAGTGAATTACTTTAAAAAGTCCTGGATTCTTTCTTGGATACACAGAATATAACTGGATATAACATTTATAGGTAAAGTTGATCCAGGGAATATCCGATTGCCTCTCGGGGGATCAGGAAGGAATTTTTTCCCCTGCAGGAGCAAATTGGATTGTGCTTTGTTCAGTTTTTTTGCCTTCCTCTGGATCAACTGTGGGTGTAGGATTATAATTTTTGTTTTTTTTTAATGGTTGAACTGGATGGATTTTTGTCTTTTTTCAGCCAGACTAACTATGTAACTTAAAGATTGACATTAACTAATGGAGATTTTTTTTCAAATGCAACACCATAAACAACACAATCATCAGTCCATCCCCTCACGCCAGGGTACTAGGTGTCATCCTAGATTTATGTCCTTTCAGCCCCAGGTCCAATCGCTGACAAACTCATGTAGACTTCACCTCCACAACCTCTCCAAGATATGTCCGTTCCTAACCCCGGAAACCACTAAGCAACTGATTCACTCCCTTATTATATCTCGCCTCGACTACTGTAACTCCCTCCTCACTGGCCTACCTCATCGCAGGCTATCCCCCACTCCAGTCTATCATGAACGCTGCTGCCAGACTCATCCGCCTTACTAACCGTTCTGTATCTGCCACCCCTCTCTGCCAATCCCTGCACTGGCCTCCACTCAGTGTCCTCCACCCCTCTCTGCCAATCCCTCCACTGACATCCACTCAGTGTCCTCCACCCCTCTCTGCCAATCCCTCCACTGACCTCCACTCAGTGTCCTCCACCCCTTTCTGCCAATCCCTCCACTGACCTCCACTCAGTGTCCTCCACCCCTCTCTGCCAATCCCTCCACTGACCTCCACTCAGTGTCCTCTATCCCTCTCTGCCAATCCCTCCACTGGCCTCCACTCAGTGTCCTCCACTGCTCTCTGCCAATCCCTCCACTGACCTCCACTCAGTGTCCTCCACCCCTCTGTACCAATCCCTCCACTGGCCTCCACTCAGTGTCCTCCACCCCTCTCTACCAATCCCTCCACTGACCTCCACTCAGTGTCCTCCACCACTCTCTGCCAATCCCTCCACTGACCTCACTCAGTGTCCTCCACCCCTCTCTGCCAATCCCTAAACTGACCTCCACTCAGTGTCCTCCACCCCTCTCTACCAATCCCTCCACTGACTTCCAAATGCCCAACAGATAAAATTCAAAACGCTAACACTGACGTATAAAGCCGTTCATAACACTGCCCCAAATTACATCACCGATCTTGCCTCCAAATATCACCCAAACCGTACTCTCCGCTCCTCACAATACCTCCTACTCTCTAGCTCCCTTATCTCCTCTTTCCATGCTCGTCTCCAGAACTTCTCCAGAGCTTCCCCCATCCTCTGGAACTCCCTACCACAATCCATCAGACTATCGTCTACTCTGCTCACTTTTAGGCGCACTCTGAAAACCTATCTCTTCAGGGAAGTCTACCCCGCCCTCATCTAATACTGGATTCCTCTACCCTTCCAACCACTCCATCCCCTACAGTCATTACCTCTTGTACCACTATCCCCTCCCTCCTAGATTGTAAGCTCCAAGGAGCAGGGCCCTCGAATCCCTCTTGTATTGAATCGTATTGTTACTGTACTGTCTCTTGTACTGTCTCCCACCATAATGTAAAGAGCTGAGCAAACTGTCGGCGCTATATAAATCCCGTATTATAATAATAAATTAACCTCCTCTGGGGAGAAAGAAAGCAATGTGTATAGTAGGCAACCTGCTATGGCTGTACAGTAGAGACATTGTACAGAAAACCATTGACTTATCTCCCAGCTAGAGCTGTATCCGTGTCTCCATAGAAAGAGGTTCTTCTGAAAATTGACATCAAATTAAGTATATTAAATAACTCCACAGGTTGTGTTAAACCAATTGACACAGGAGGGCATTTCATGTGTGACAGGTCCTCTTTATAGGGGTCAAACTTTCAACTATGTCAATAAAAAAAGATGTTCCATTCTCATTTTCCTCCTGGGATAATGCCATACTTTTCCCTTAGATCGTTTGTAACCGATCGCCTCCGACTGTTGAGTCAACGTTAACGCGCTCCTGGTTTTTTGTTTAACCGCAGTATATTTACGGAGGAAGGTTGTGAATTAAACCCGGAGACTCTTTCCATTCTAGAGCCACTCGGCAGCCTCTGTCAAGTCATTTTGCAGCTGTTCGGCCTGGGGGTGATTCAGAGGGAAGTTTGCTGTGAATTCGGCTCAGGTTCGGTGTAATTGGACGCTGTAAAAACACACAAGAAGGGAACGGCTGAATGTATTGTGTTTTTGGGCAAGAGGGAAAAATGAGGTGAAAAAAACTCTTGGTATCCCAGATGTTCTGATATTGCTCACTGCAGGGGCAGACTGAACATTTGGAAACTCGGGCACTGCCCGAGGGCCCGGGGTCAGTAGGGGGCCCCATGAGATGCCCCTGGTATGTTTTTCATAGGCTTTTTTGAGTTTGGGCAAGACACGGGCCCCATGATCCCCTATTGCCCGGGGGCCCCATGAATTGTCAGTCCGCCCCTTGCTCACTGCTCAGTTTTCTCCAATCAATAAGTCTTCACAAAGCCCAACTGCTTTCCAGAGACAAGTATGGCGCTTACACTATACCATAAATATCCTTATTGTATAAAGAATATCCAATAATTAGCGATCATAAGTACTACTAGTAATAAATTGGAGAAAACTAATCAAATATATTGGATAATGAAGTAAATTGGGCCAAAGTCCAACACCAGTGTAGTAAGTCCACTCTTTTCTGTGCCACAAGTTCTTCTTAAAGTGCTTTACCACTTGTGCCACCCCAATGCATTCACCACAAATCCATGAGCATCTTAATCAAAAGGAAGGTCAAAAACCGCTTGGTATACCAGATGTTCTGATGCTGCTCACTGCTCAGTTTTCTCCAGTCAAGTCTTCACAAAGCCCAACCACTTTCC